TCCGCCGTGATTCTCGCCACGGTGGGCAGTCCGAGAGAAATGAGTTTATCGAGTCACGATATGCGCGCTATGGCCGATTCGGTGGATGAGAGTCTCGACTGTTTCGTCGTAAGTTCTATCTCTCTGATTCGATCGAAGACCTCACAATTAGAGGGGCAGCCTTAAGGCTTTGTCCTAACGGCGCGTGAAGGCGAGTCTCTTCATTTGTTGCCGTTCTCTAGCCTTTCAATTCTCGGAAAATAACAAGTTAATACAGGGGGATCTGAAAATAATAATTCCTTAAGAGTCTGAACACTGAAGACTGGCTTCGTAAAATAAATTTCTGGTTCTATCAGGTTTCAATCATCCGTCTATTCCAAGTACATCTTAAGCCCCTTCTAATTGAAAGTTCGCGATATTTAATGCTAGTTAATGGTTATTATACGCGACAACATCCCACGATAAATTGTAATGAATCACCCATTGGTCGAAGCAAAAATAAATGCGTCAAACATTCTTTTAACATTGATTCTCATTCAAACATTCTCATAAAATACACTTGATTAGAAATTGCTGTACTTTCTCTGTCACAAACAGACTTAATTCCTAAGATTACTGTTAATATTTTTATAGCAATGAAGCGCATGCTCCAAAGAATTCTGACGCGCGCGATGACTTAATTCTCTAAATATTGCTTAAATTGCGTGATACGGTTTAATTACGGCGAAGCGGGCGATCGTATCTGAACGCAAAAATTACCCAATGTTAAAAAACGGAAAGTATTATTCGATATGTGCAAGAGATAAATGACACATTTTCTAGAATTTATTCTTTTTAAGGCAATGAGAACTGTAGGTTATGTAAAAGTTATTGAAAATCGCAAAAATTTTTTCGCTCTCTTAATATGGATTAATGTGCTTTATTTTAATACATAAAAACTATATGTATTGAAATATACGTAAAAAATTAGATAGACATATGTATATCTAAAAATTATTTCGTTAAATAATCAAAATAATTATGTAGGAAACTCACAAGCGATGTTGCAAAAGTTTTGACATTCTAATAGCCAGTTTGAGCATCCTATATTTTAATAGTCCAATAATATTTTCACATCTATATGTAATTGAATTTTTAGCAAAATATCGTTCTTTCCGTATAATTAAAACGATTAATTAAAAAAATTAATGGGTCGCGTTAAATTTCTGTTTAAGGGAAAGGGATCGCAAGTATCAAAAGTTTGCGTTTTACTGTTTTAAAACTGCAGAAACGGAAATTCGTGAAATAAACGCGAGTTAGGGCCTCGAGACGAATCGAAACGTCCCTGCGAGGAATCTCCCTCTCCGATGATCGGCGCGGATGACGCGCGCTGGAAAATGTGGCGCGCGCTCGCGTCCCTTGACGCTCGCTTTGCCACGCAATTCCGTCCGAGTGGGGACATACGCGCGCAAACGAAAATGCACATCGGTAGGTAGGTAGGTGAATGCCGCGCCTCGGCGAGGATCACGCAAACAATTACACGAGTAAATTGCAACCCCGTCGACACGAGCGAACGATTCCGTTTGGAGGGTCGTCGTGTCGATCGTGACGTGGCGGCTTTGTGTGCGAAACTTTACTCCGACGACACGCCTTGGCTCGCCTCAAAAGGTCACAATAATGCGCGAGCCATTCAAATTAATCTCCATCAATTTGAATGTATAATTTCCGTAGAAGACTATGTTTTAATCAACAATACGTGGAAGCGCGAGGTTCACTCTGACCTCCGGTTTGAGAAATCAATCCATGCCAATTTTGGATTTGCTCGAATATTGTGAACGCGAGCTAGCTCGCTCTCCTTAACGCGTCACAGCGGGTAAGAAAGCGTGATCTCGATTTAGGAAACGTTACGCATGACGCGGAGAAGGACGAAGTCGCGCTTTGTTCGCGGAAGTTCGACGAGCTTCGAGAGTCGCCGCGCGTTCTCGAAGTATAAATAGAATCGGCTGTGCTACGCCGCGGATATCCTCGATATAGTGCCACTCTGGACGTTCTTGACTGCACGCAAACTGTCAGTGTTGAAAGAACCCGAGATTCGCGGTCATCGCGAGGAGAGAAAAAAAAAGCAAATTACCCGTGATTATTAAACACGTGGACGCATTGAGATCTACTTGGGATGAGCACTCTCGACTGTTCTGCGCGGGAAGCTTGAAAGAGATGTATCAGAATCGCGCAAAAATACAGGGAGCATTGAATTCAACAAATTGGTGCTTCCCAGCAAGAGAGAGAGACATAATATATTATAACATATACAGAGAGGTTTTGCTGAAGTATTTAAAAATTTAGCTGGATACAGATCTGAAAATAATTTTGTTTGGACTAGAAAAATAATTTAATTAAATAATTATGTAGGATGCTTAAATTGGTCATTAAAATGTCAGAACTTTTTGCAAGCATTACTCATCATGTTCGAGATTGAATGAATTTCTACGTAATTATTTCAATGATTAAATAAAGTTATATATTTTCAGATTTATATTCATCTAAATTTTTAGATATTTCAACAAAATCTTTTTTTTCCGCGTAGTAGTCATCTTTGTTTTAAAGGGCAAACTACAAGGCTGTAATGATTCACTATGTTACACTGGGTGCTTTCCAACAAGAGATACAGATGACAAAGTGTAATACAGTGAATCATTACATCTTTATTGTTTGCAATGCTAAACAGAAATGAAATGATGACTTTAACACATTATGTTACACTGTGCATATTGCTTGAAACCCCTTATGTGGGCTTTCTACTTGTTGGTACAAATCAATATAAAGTGTTGTTCTATTTTCGTGAAAGAAGATAAAATGATGTTAGTGTCGACTTGTGCTACTAAAGCAAAGCACCATCCTGTGTCTTTTGCTGGAAAACACCCTATAATATACGAATATTATTCATCGCATTACATTCTGTTTTGAAGTCGTAAAGACGGATGTCATTAGACGATATCTATGGGAAATGACGCAAGCATGATTCTTGATTCTTCACGTTGACCAGCTCTCTTCTGCGAAAGTGCGTCGAAGCGACTCCTTCGAAGAACGCTGCGTCGTTGCAACTTCTTTCTGACATTCGAGTTTTGTTCGTGCTTCTGAAGGCGTCCACGACGCAAATTCATCGAACTTGTTGTAAATTTAACGGAGAATCGTCATGTCTTGAAACGAGTGTCAAGTCTCCGCTCTCGGTGAACACGTGCGAATACTTAGTCCTCGTACATCGAATCGATTGAAGCCGTGGCAACGGGAACGAGAGAGAACGGGTTAAGTGTTCAATGAGACGCGTTCCCAAATGAGACGAGCGCAATTGATTTCGCTGACGTGCGGAGTTCGGCAACCCGCGGGCACCTTGGACGGAAGCAGCGTACTATATACGTGACCAAACGCGTCGAAAATAAGGGACCAAACGCAATGTGCATCGTGCGCGCACATGCATCTTTTGTCCGCGGCGCACGTGAGTCACTTAGCACGTGCACACGACGATGAACATCGATTGAAGTTTCTTTCTTGCTGCTGAAAGAGACGGAAAAAGTGTTGTTTCTCAAACGAAAACAAATATCATTGCAAATATCTTTACTCCACAATTCAGATTAAATTACATTAATTTAAATTAACCCTTAAATAAGGGCATAATAGAGTTACTTTTCTCTCTTTTTTTTTTTCTTTCCTCTGAATGGACTTTGAACGTAAAAGGGGTCACAGTATGAATAAAAGACGAATCGAACAATCCATCTCGTCAAGGAAGAGAAGCTCATCCAGAGCCACTTCGTAACAATCGCTGTGATTTTTGTGCGCTTAAGGGTTAATTAAATTAATAACTTATTCGTATAAAAAAGGGCAAATGAGAGTAAATAACAATCACCGCAGTTTTAAGTGCGTAACAATAATTTAATGTCAAGGTTAAAAAACAACTCCAAATTCCGGACGTTTCGACTGACTTCGTCATCTTCAGCATACAGCAAAATTGAATGGTCACTTCAAAAAATCCTCTGATCGGCCAAAAACATGCAAGTCCACCCAAATTTCAATTGCAATTGAAATAGTGTGATTAAATCACATTATTTCAAGATGACTGGAAGTCAGTCGATACGTCCGGAATTTGGAGTGGTTTTTTAATCTTGACATTAAATTATTGTTACGCACTTAGAACTGCGGTGATTGTTGTTTACTCTCATTTGCCCTTTTATACGAATAAGTTGTATTTGAATTTCGAGAGTCCATTAAATTCTGTTATTTTTAAATTAATAAGTTTAGATTAATTGAATTAATTTAGAGATTAAATTGATTTATTTAAGATACATATATAAATATATTATCAACTGATTTTGACAGTAATAATCGCTTCTTGTACTTACAAAAAAATTAAATAAAAGTGTCTCCCTCCGATTTTAACGAGTTTTGAATGTTATTTTTTTGATAAAAATAAAGCACATGTATTTTTTTTTAAATAAAGACTCAATCACACTTTTAGGGAGTGCAATACTCCTTTGAGGAAAATTGATTATTGTCTTATATTCGCGCGTTTCAAAAGAAAAGAACTAATTTTCTTCAAAGAGGTATCACATCCTCTAACCATGCGATTTTGCTTATAAAAAAATACTCTTTAAAAAAAAAAATGTTCCTTATTTTTGTTTAAAAAACAATATATTTAAAGTTCACCAAAATCGGAGGGGGACACTTGCATAGATTTTATTATGAATTGATTTATTCATAAGCGATCCTGATGTGTGTTTCGAATCTTAATATCATAAATTAATTTAATTACTTTAAATAAATTAAATATAATTATATACCATATATACTTAATTTTAGTAAATTTTAATAAATTAATTAAATTATTTATATATAAAATTTCAAGAAGGAAAAAAATCTAGTGGAAAATACAATTTCAAGGCAAAGAATTGGAGCGTGGCACATTAAGAAGATTGTTAAATCGTAACGTCCAAGTCCACGGGACAATTTTTTAATTTCGATATAGTGAGAAAAGATTTTCAAATAAATTTCAAATCAAACAAAGAATGATTGAAAGAAAAAGTAAGGAATAAAAAGGAATAAGTTTGTGGAGGCACAAAAATGTATTGAGAAGTGTTGCTCGACGAAAAATCAGAAGAGAAATTCACTCGAATTCGATGAAATTAATGAAGGAACGACTTCCGTGAAGAGTTCTGCGAATCCCAGGAGACACATCTCGCGAAAACTGCTGTGTTCGCGCATCGAGGGCACCGCAGATATCACCATCTTCGCTCGCAGGGCGCTCTCCTTGATGAAAGAGGAGATCGAGGCGAGATCCCTCTCCAATCCTCCCACTTCTACATCGCCGACGGGTTGCCGGGTACCGGCGCGGTGTGCGCTGCGCACGATGGCAGTGCGCTAAGTGAGCGAGTGCGGACAACGACGCGAGCGCGCTAGTACAGTGCAGGTCGACATGGCAGCGGATTACGACGAGTGATCGCCACGACGGGTGGACTGTGGCGGGTGGAGAAGGTGCGAGAGAACGCGGCGATAGACTAAGAAAGAGTCGCGAAAGGAACGCTGGTGCGATTCGGAGAACGGAGAGTGCTCGACGAGATAAAGTCGCTCTCACGACCGAGGAGAGCGGCCGTCGCGCCGCGTCGCGTCGCGTCGCGTCGAACGCGCTCGAAAATAGAACGCGGTTGCGACCGCGAGTGAACGTAAAAGAGAAGAGAAGCGGGCGGGAAGAGTTAAAAGAGAGAGAGAAAGAGAGTGACTGACGGTTTAAGCCGGTCGTAGAATGTCGCGAGTGTCGCTCAACAAGTCGCAGTACGGCTCACGTCGCGTCCGCAAAATCAGCTCGGTACGGTTTGTATATGGATACATAAATTATGGGGAGCGAAAGCATGGCCGTGTGCTCGTCCAGTTCCCAGCGAGAAATGGCAAATGGAATCGACGTGGAATCGTTGTCGATTCGACGTCGAAATCATCAAATCGACTCCAAGTCGATTCCATTGTCATTTCTCACTGGGTTCAGTGCGAATCCATCTTCCTTTCTTCATGCCTGCTATTTACCCTCTGGTCCTCATCTGATCTGTTTAAATGATCAGTGATGCGTTTCAGCGAGAGACTCAATGATTTATTTCGTCTTTGTTTAACATTGAAAAAGTAGGATGTAATGATTCACTGTATTGTATTATAGTACCTTGTTAAAAAAAAAAAAAACACCCTATATATATATGTCTGCTACCTGAGTGACCCTCGTCCAACATAATGGTCAAAGTGTCAAACGTTAAACAAGGAGGATTTAAAAGACCTGCAGAACCAGCGAAACATCTGTTGCATCCCTTTAAAGACGTCCCGTTCACTTCTTTCACGCCACTCCAAACGCATGTCGTTGAAACGTTAGGTCTATTGTACACGTTGGAGTACCTACAGAAAATTCCCACGATACACGTTTCGTATTCCAACGTTGCTGTACGTTATCGATTTTTGCGTAACCGGACGTACTGGGGTAATTCGCAGTGTAATTTGCGTGTCGGCCGCGCCGGAACAACGATCGCTATTTACGTGTCGTCTATAATCATCGCGACAACGAAGTGCGTTTTGCATGGCTCCTCTGTCGAGCGATGAGAAGACGACACGTGACTCAGCCTTGACAATCGGGGCCGGTTGATCGGCGGGAGAATAAGCGCCAATAGTTGCACCAGCACGCACACGTCTCGCGAACTTTTTGCATTATACGACAGTGCGTAAATGTACGTATATATATGTCAACGCGCGCGCGAGTGTGTTAACAAGGTCGAACGAATCGCGAGGCGTAGCGCAGATTTTTCGCCGATAGAGAGAGAGAGAGAGAGAGAAAGAGCGAGCTTCGCGCCTTCCGTCGTCGGGTGGCGCGATTGGAATGACAGCGCGCGCGATCAGCTGATCAGCTGTGGCCTTCCTTTCGGCCGAGTCCAACTCTCGTGTCAAGCACGCGCGCGCGCGCGCCGCATTTAAATTCGTCTTCGCGACCGCGTGACACGGCGAGGTCGTTGATCCAAATTCATTAGCGTTGGGAGCTCCGTGACTCGCGGTAAGATGTGAAGATGCGCGCATGCAAATGAGGCTGCAATTATCTGATCGAGAAAGGAAATCAAACATTTTGCACAATTTTCCGAGCAAAGTATTTTATCCCGTGAATAACTTTATTGCATTGAGAATAAAATTATTTATTTGACTAAATTAAATTAGTTTGTCTTCATTTTCGAAGAATTAATGTATGTGTTTAAGTCAAACATATTATATTTGACCTAAATGTATACATTCTCCAACGAAAGACATAAAGACTTAATTTAGTCGAATAATTTAGCCAAATGAACAATTTTTTCCCGGTGCGACGATTGAAATTCCACGAAATCCATATACAACGAGATTAATACAAATGATACGTAATGTAGGCAACTATAAATAAAGTGATATGAAATCCACTGCAATGGAAATTATCACATATATTCATACATCGAATTATTAAAAAAAAAACGATTTCGTTGAAATAGCAAAAAATTTAGTTGGACATCTAGACATATATAGACTTGAAAATAATTTTTAATCTCCATCCAAATATTCGTGTAGAAAATTCAAGCACGATAAGAATGCTGCAAGAATTTTTCATATTCTAGTAACCAACTTGAGCGTCCTACATAGTTATTTTCATAGCCTGACAAAATTTCTTTTCAAATGTACATTTAGCTACATTTTTAGATACTTTGAGCAAAACGGTTATATAAAACAATATTAGTTATTTTTAATCATTTCTATAAGCCACTGCTTCAATATGTTGTTAATTTAATAATAAAAATATCCTTTAACTTAAGAGAAAATATATTAAATATACTTATTAAATTTGACTTGAATATATTTTATTATTTACTGAATGCGTATGTTAATATGGACGTGGTTTACTTTGAAACTCTATTTACAGAAATGAACTGATTTTGACATTTTGACATACATGGAAGTTAAAAATAACAAAACGTTACTTAACAAAGTTATTGGATTACTATTTTTCTTTTGATATACCTAATGGTGTACAAAACTCACATAAAGCAATTAAAATTATACAGAATCCATAAAACAAAACTACAATTGAAAAGTATGTAAATTATATTTTATAAAATATAAAAATATATTCTATATAATTATATAAGATAATGTTATATAAAATGATGATTCCTATTTTGTCGTGATAGAATTATGGGCGTAGAATTATAAATAATTTAATTATAAATAATTAAAGATATTCTATATCACTTTGTGCTAATTCTAAATAATTCAAATAAATAATGTTGTTTATTAATGACTAAATCTCTCGTTTGTCTCTGCTTGCTGAACTAATTAATAACATTCGGGTGTGCTTTGCTTTCTCATCGATTCTCATGGCTCAATAATCTTGTGTAATTAATATAAAGGCACCTGCGGGCATTAAAACGTCGTTGATTAGCCGCATTGCGTGGGCGAAGCTCGATATTTCCCCTTCTCGATTAGTACGGTATTAATACTTCGATATTAATAAGCTGTTTTTTTTTTTCCATTAAAATCCAACATGATCGCATGTTACGGAATTAAGCACCTCGATAAATTATTCGGCAGTATTAACTAATTTGCAATAATGTTGAATAAACATAATATTAATGAGAATAACAAATATTTTTCGTAAATATCAACATCTTTAATTTGATAATTTCTACTCGTAAAAAAAAAAAACTTTCAAATAGAATTTTAAATGCGAGAGAATCATTTTATGTTCTCGATTTTTCATTATATGTATATACATGGAGAAATAAATTAAAGAATAAATCTTCTATAATTTAAAGTATTGTTTCTCGCATAATGAGTTGCGTGTTAATGATACACCAGTAAACATAATTGCTTCTCCGCAAAACGCGGTTTGGATCGTAAACAATAGTTCCTTTATCGATTCGATCTTGGCTTTGCATTCTACACGAGCGACGTGTATCACCTTGGCCAGATGCAGCCTTAGAAACTGATTAAGTCACAGTTAGCTATTTAATATCTGTGCTGGCGTTTGCGTTATGAGATCATCCTAATGCGCGCGGTACGCGTTCTGTTCTCGCGTTACACTCTGCGATTAACGAAATCGCCGAGCCGTGGCGTACAGTTTTGCATATGCGCGAATTCTCTAATTTCCCTTCCTGTTGTGTGCTTGTCATAATCTCATTTGTTCCTAGTGTTTTCAACGTTATTTCTTTCGCGGCAAAAAAAAAATTTTTTTACACGTGAGAGGTAGAAAATAATACAAAATCTAAAAATTTTTAATTAACGCGATTATATATATAAAAGTAAATAAATAAATAAATTTATATATAATTGTTTAAAAGATAAAAGATAATTTTTTAAAGGCAATCATACAGATAATTGAAAATAAACGACTTATTTACAGTTGTCATTTCACCTCAAGTGAATGAATTCACGTGTTAAGTTAATTTTTAATGTATAAAAAATTAATTTTTGTCATTAATATAATTTAAAAAAAAAAAATAACTTTATTATTTAATTTAATATTCTCTGATTTTACTGATTTTAAGATATTTGTTGTAAATATTAGTAAATATTAGTATCTTTTAAAATATATATAAAAAAGATATTGTATTTATCGTGATTTATATGAATGATAAGAAGTCTAATCGACTATATTTTGTAAATCAACGAAGAGAATGAATATTTATGCATCAACACGAAAAAGCTTTTTCTTCAAACATTCAAGGTAAACGGCAAGTCTCTTTCAAGGCAAATGCAACGCGTTTGTACCACGCGAGGTACAATATAGCCTTAATTATATGTGTTTGCTAGTTTGTCTGTGAAACTGTTAAAAGTATATACGATCTAAAGTATACGTTACCATGTAATTATTCCCGCTAAATTATCACAAAGTAAAAAAATTGAGTCGCCATGCCAGTGGATGTTGTAATTCATATTAATTGCCATTATTTAAAAATATATATGCAAGCTATGCATATATATTGTTAAATTACATGAATAAGAAACAAGCACTCTTTATTTTGAATTATCTTTTCTCTCAGACGTTCTTCTACGCGATACAATGTAATTATTTCCTAACGTACAATATTTAGCAGGAATTTTGTGAGGATACATTTATTTTACAATGTATATAAATGATATCATTTTTTTTTAAGACACACCATTTGTTAAAAATAACATTTGGTTATCATTGCATGCTTTATATTTTTTTTCCAGACGGAGAGCGAATACTCAGTAGAAGAACAAGCGAGATTAACGGGAACCGATGGACCAGGTGGCGATGAAGCTTCGCCCGAAGATGAGGGAGGTTCACTTTGCGAATATCACGATATACCACCACCTCCGGACGGTGGATATGGTTGGGTGGTGGTATTTGCATCGTTCATGTGTAACATGATAGTGGACGGCATTGCCTACACGTTCGGTGTCTTTCTCGGAGAATTCGTTAAATATTTTGGGGAAGGAAAGGGCAAAACTGCGTGGGTTGGCTCGTTGCTGTCTGGAATGTATCTCAGTGCTGGTAAGATACATGAAATGTCTTTAAAATTTTATTACCTGAACTTTAAAGGCTGGGATACGTCACCACCGTTGTAAAATATTTTTGTAATGACATCTCCTTTGTAGGAAGAGAATTAATTTTTCCTAAGCAAAAATTTTATTATACTAAAAATTTAATAGCGAGATATGAAATAAAAAAAAAAAAAAAAATTTTTTTACACGTGAGAGGTAGAAAATAATACAAAATCTAAAAATTTTTAATTAACGCGATTATATATATAAAAGTAAATAAATAAATAAATTTATATATAATTGTTTAAAAGATAAAAGATAATTTTTTAAAGGCAATCATACAGATAATTGAAAATAAACGACTTATTTACAGTTGTCATTTCACCTCAAGTGAATGAATTCACGTGTTAAGTTAATTTTTAATGTATAAAAAATTAATTTTTGTCATTAATATAATTTAAAAAAAAAAAATAACTTTATTATTTAATTTAATATTCTCTGATTTTACTGATTTTAAGATATTTGTTGTAAATATTAGTAAATATTAGTATCTTTTAAAATATATATAAAAAAGATATTGTATTTATCGTGATTTATATGAATGATAAGAAGTCTAATCGACTATATTTTGTAAATCAACGAAGAGAATGAATATTTATGCATCAACACGAAAAAGCTTTTTCTTCAAACATTCAAGGTAAACGGCAAGTCTCTTTCAAGGCAAATGCAACGCGTTTGTACCACGCGAGGTACAATATAGCCTTAATTATATGTGTTTGCTAGTTTGTCTGTGAAACTGTTAAAAGTATATACGATCTAAAGTATACGTTACCATGTAATTATTCCCGCTAAATTATCACAAAGTAAAAAAATTGAGTCGCCATGCCAGTGGATGTTGTAATTCATATTAATTGCCATTATTTAAAAATATATATGCAAGCTATGCATATATATTGTTAAATTACATGAATAAGAAACAAGCACTCTTTATTTTGAATTATCTTTTCTCTCAGACGTTCTTCTACGCGATACAATGTAATTATTTCCTAACGTACAATATTTAGCAGGAATTTTGTGAGGATACATTTATTTTACAATGTATATAAATGATATCATTTTTTTTTAAGACACACCATTTGTTAAAAATAACATTTGGTTATCATTGCATGCTTTATATTTTTTTTCCAGACGGAGAGCGAATACTCAGTAGAAGAACAAGCGAGATTAACGGGAACCGATGGACCAGGTGGCGATGAAGCTTCGCCCGAAGATGAGGGAGGTTCACTTTGCGAATATCACGATATACCACCACCTCCGGACGGTGGATATGGTTGGGTGGTGGTATTTGCATCGTTCATGTGTAACATGATAGTGGACGGCATTGCCTACACGTTCGGTGTCTTTCTCGGAGAATTCGTTAAATATTTTGGGGAAGGAAAGGGCAAAACTGCGTGGGTTGGCTCGTTGCTGTCTGGAATGTATCTCAGTGCTGGTAAGATACATGAAATGTCTTTAAAATTTTATTACCTGAACTTTAAAGGCTGGGATACGTCACCACCGTTGTAAAATATTTTTGTAATGACATCTCCTTTGTAGGAAGAGAATTAATTTTTCCTAAGCAAAAATTTTATTATACTAAAAATTTAATAGCGAGATATGAAATGAACAATCTTCTTTTTTGGTCAAAATCCTCAGTATAAGCTTTATCTTGATGAAAGGAGATTAGATTGCGGCCTTATGTAATGCTTTCGATAAAGTTCATACTAATACAGTCATTAAACATATAGCTATTAATTAAATATAGTTGTTAAGATAACTTTTAGTGTTGTGACGTATTATTTATCGCTATAGGCCCGTATTCAGAACGCGCTAACAACGATGTTAGCGCGCTAACATGCTATAGTTTACGTCACGTATACTATAGAATTTAAGAGATAAAAGCGCGCTTTTATCGATAAAAGTGCGTTCTGAATACGGGCCATACATTATATGTTAATTCTTCCTCGTCATAGGCCCCGTTGTCAGTGCTTTAACGAATAAATATGGCTGTAGAGCGGTATGTATGGCAGGAAGTTTCTTAGGCGCCGCCGCATTTGTACTCTCGACGTTTTCGAGCAGTGTAAATATGCTTATGATGACTTACGGTATTATGGGAGGTGCGTAATGATCCACTTTGATCAGCGTTCTTTATATTCTATCAACTTTCTTCATTCTTCACGTATCTACAACTGTTGTTTTAGGAATTGGATTCGGTTTGATATATCTACCCGCAGTAGTTTGCGTAGGCTATTACTTTGAAACTAAGAGATCCCTAGCTACTGGCATCGCTGTGTGCGGATCGGGATTCGGTACATTCGCGTTTGCACCCCTTGCGACTATGTTGCTGGAGGCGTACAGCTGGAAGGGAGCAAACCTAATCCTGGCTGGCCTCATCTTAAATTGCGCAGTAAGTAAACAGTGAAGTCACTCGCTGCTCTTCGCTGCTTTGTGCAGGGACATAACACAAAGCTTTAGATTAATCGAGATGACATCTCGTATATCTGATAAAAAAAATAGATGATTTTTAGGTATTTGGTGCCATGATGAGACCTCTGGAATATCCGAAAGCTTCCTCTGTTAAGCCGTTACTGCAAAGAATGGCCGAAGAAAAAAGATTTCAAATGGAACGTGGTAGTATCGGTGGCTCTTATTTTATGGTGCAGTTACCGGATGGATCCATGGAAAAGAGGATGAAAATGCCCATTAATATTGATCCCGGTGTTCATTCCAGCTTCAATTTAGACCAATTAGTGCCTGGTAAGGAACTCTGACCATCAAATTTGATATGTTCTGGTGGAACAGTGAAGTAAGTCGCAAATATCGGAAAATTGAATCGATCATACTTCTTATCTTAGTTATGTTTCATCAGATCTTCCTTAAAATAAAATAAAAATATTTTAATTGTTTTACAAATTTTTGAATTATTGAAGTAAATTTTCTAAGAGCAGGAGTTTAATTGTATTTCAAAATCAATACTTATGTCGTTTCCAATAACCACAGGCGCGTGAGCTTTCCAAGTAATCGAAATAATAATATGTTACTTCATTGAATACCCATAATATTAAAGGAACTCCTTTAACACCAGTTCCGACGGTGCCAACTCTTCCCACCATATCCGAAGTGAAGGTACAAGAGCACTCATCTAGTGGACATACCAGTGATAGCGGCAGTATGGATTTAAAAAATATTTCCAACAAGACCAAGAGCAAGAAAAGTATCGATGAAACCAAAGACACGAAGGACGTGGAGAAGCCAGAGAATGAATTTAATAAGACGATAATCCCTAGAAACGCGTCGCAGCCAGCTTTCACGACTCACGTTCAAGGTTTGCCTAAAAACGGCTCCGTGCCATTCTTCGACAGAATCCGTAAAACGAGTACCAGCGAACGCTACAAGCCTAGCCTTAGTGCAATAAAGAATTCTAGGACAACGCTTAATTCTAACGGAGATATCAGAAAAAGCTTGCATCTGAGACTTTCCACTAGCAGTATGTTGGGATCGCGAAATAACAATGCTGAGGTTGATGTAAGTCAAATATTTGATAGATTCAAATGGATTTTTTTTTTAATAGTCGAATTACAAACATGTGCGTGATATCTTTCTGTTTTAGGATGGTGAGAGTATTACTTTTACTACCAGTAAAGCTAGTATCCAAAAAGAGAAACCAATGATTGTCCGTCCCTTATCGAGAAAGGATATTTTCTACAGTGGTAGCGTAGTCAATTTACCAGAATACCAAAGCCAGAAATCCCTTGCCAATTACCGTCAGAGTGTTGTATCTATTCCCAAATCTGTACGTGGTGATTTGAAAGACATCGATATCGAAAAAGCACAACAACGTACGTATACGTTCTGCATATATACATTTTTACATGCGCGCAAATGCATATATATATAACTTAAACATTATTCATTAAAGGCTAGAAAAAATAACATAAATTTATAATTTTTAGAACCTTTGTGTCCTTGCTTGGTATTGCCTGACTCGTTTAAGGAAGCTTTAGCGACGATGATGGATATGTCTTTATTGAAAGATCCTGTTTTTCTTCTAATTGGTATTAGTAATGTATTTGGTATGGCTGGACTGTACGTTCCTTTTGTATATCTGGTGGATGCCGCGGTCTTAGATGTATGTTATTTATCAATTTTTAGTATATCATTAAATTATGCAGTACTATAATTCAATGAACGTCATTCCTTCTTTAAGGGAATTGAAAGCAATTCTGCATCATTCTTATTATCTATTATTGGAATAACGAACACCATAGGTCGTGTGGCTTGTGGATATATCGCTGACTTTCCGCAAGTCGATTCCTTATTATTAAACAATATTTGCTTAATTATATCCACAATCGCAGTAGCCGCTACACCATTTTGTCATAGTTATGCCGCTTATATCATCATGAGCATATTTTTTGGAATAGCAATATGTAAGTATTTCAACTACGCAACTGTGAAACATCCATTATTTTAGTTGAAACTGTCAAGTATGAAAATTTATCTCAGTTTGGAAATTTTAAATATTTTTACTATTTTATGATTTGGATTTTAGCTGGATATATCTCACTAACATCGATCATCTTGGTGGATCTCTTGGGATTAGACAAGTTAACGAACGCTTTCGGCCTTTTAATTCTATTTAGAGGGGCTGCCGCTATAGTTGGCTCACCCTTAGCGGGCGCTGTTTATGATGCAACGCAGAGTTACAGTATCCCGTTCTTCATGGCAGGGTTCTTCTTCCTTATAAGCACTATTACTAGTTTCATGGCCCCTGCTATGAAACGGTGTACTACACCGCAGGTAAGATACTCATATAATTTTGATTAATTTTCAATCTTTAACCGGTATTTATAATTCGTTCTTATTTAAAGACCATTTTAAGTAATATTTTATGATGCTAATAAGGCTCTATAATTGATTTATGACGTCTTAAGAATGCCATAAACTAATCACAGAGCTGTGACATAAGAACAAACTTTATGAATACTGAATACTAATCTTTACTTTTTAACTCGGTAACGAGTAATATATAGTAACTACTTTTAAAGAGAGTAACTTTCCAATCCTTGCAATCTCTTGATGTTACTTAACCTTTAAAGAACGAAAGTTTATTTTTAAAATTTTAAAGCTTTCCTTAAGTACTTATAATTATTTTTCGTTGTATTTCTTGTTTCAAAAAACTGTTTCAGCACCACTACAGTGGCTTTTTTCTGTAAAGATTTAATTATACCGTGACTTTTGTATTTAATATTATAGTTCCATCGCTATATTTTTAATAAATGATATATTTTACTAACTTATATAATAATACCAAACACTATACGAAAAATTATCGAATTATTTTATTTGTTGCAGATTCAACCTGTGATATTAGATACATTGACTCCAATCGACGAAGATATTGAAGAAGAGAATGAGGAGGATATACCGGAAATAGTAGAAACTGCGCCGTCACCCTTAGAACCACCCGAGAAAGAGATCAAACAAATAGAGTCTGTTTTATAAGTACTTCTGATCTTTTTTAAACGGATTATAAAAATCGCCTTCACTCCGAGCCACACTGTGATAGGGCTGCTACTTTTGAAGTCTTAAAAAAAGGTACTTCTCTTTGTTACACACTTAATCAATAAAGCACAAATTAGTGGCATACATACCTGATGGAATTTTTTATCGTACTTACAGTTAGACTTGTATGTACTATTGTATGGTTGTCATATTATTTTTGTTTTTTTATCAAAGCGAATAAATGCAACATACGCGTGAAAATGCCATCAGGTACAGTTAATTACTGTTAGTTGCCTATATGTAATAGTGAATAATAGGTAGAATGTTTTATTAACCTAATCAGTATCGATCAAGCAGTATATATAAATATAGAGAAAGAGAGAGAGAGAGAGAAAGAAAGAAAAATATTAAACTAAAAAAATGCTCTTGCACGTGCATATCGAGTAATCTTGTATAAATTATTATATAATCTGCATTGTAGAGATACGATACTGTATAATTCGATAATTATATGGTATGCAAGCATACAAGGATCGGTCAAGGTATCGCTGATTGGATGCTCGTTTTAATCATGACGCTTAAGAATGTATAGACAAATTTATCTGTGCATTCTATCAATTGTAATATATTTCGCGAAAATAACACGAAACAACGATGTTTTTTCTGATCAACATACGATTGACCATCCTTGATGGAAAAAAAAATCCCACCAATGACCTATCATGTTAGTTAAATCTATTTTTGGCCGCATCCAAAGATACAACTCGAATTATATTCATGATTCAGAGAGATATTTTCTTGCATACTTGCGACAAATGTATATGTATATAAATATATACAAATATATATACACACATACATATACACAAGCGAAGGAAAGAATGTAAACTATCATTAATATTTACATGCAACAAATATATCGCTGTTGCGCAGCATAAACTGTAAATAAATAATTTATAGAGAGTTACAAAAATATGTATATATGTGTATATATTTTATATCTATACACATATATACACATATTTAATATACATATACAGAGGTCTGGAAATTCAACCGATAAACTTTCAGAGATTGTCGAGGGCACCAAAAGGATCATTTTTTTGCAAATCGTGTCATTTCATCGCTACGGCAGACAGAATGTTCGAAAAAGATCGAAATATCTCAAAAAATATAAGTTTTATAAAAAATTGGTTTTAGATAAAAGTTGTAGGGTCTAAAAAGATCTATTTACTGACCTTATGAGTTTAACTTTGGATGGCGCCAAGGTCAAGTCGAGATTGCATTAGGCAAGATCAGCTCGCGATGAAACAACACGTTTCCAACCTAGGTCCATCTGCAAAAATGATCCTTTTGCCCTCAACAATCTCTGAAAGTTTGTCGGCTGAATTTCCGAACACTCTGTATATATAACGAACTCTAGAAATTAAACTAACGAACGCTAGAATTAAACTAAAACGCGAAAGCTCATAATTACAAAGTTATGGGTTTTCTACACGCTGTAGTCTCGCTGAGACTTCGCGCAATTAATGTATTCATCAAGGAATAATTAATGCATCGTTAGATAGATATTAATATATTCATTATCCGAAACAGAGAATCTTTATTAATGTGTAAAGAAACGCGTCTCGTCTACTACAGTTAGTTTGTATAAGTGGATTTAAGCCGTTTAGTTGATGGAACTGACTGTGCAGGATAGTACTTAGAAAGCACGTTAAGTAATGCAAAAGTAATTTCAGACCGTCGTATGTTGTCAAGCGCAACGATTTGCGAGCGTTTCTCGTATGTATGTGTGTGTGTGAAAGTTACATGTATGTAACTAATTTCATTATAGCGGTGACGATCATTATTGGATCGATGTAATTAATGTTTGGGAGAGAATATATGCCTACAGACATGCACGCAACAAACGTATATGCACATGTGTGCATTATTATATTGTATATGTAAAAAAAATCTATGTATACATATAAACTGAGGAGCTCGTTGTAAATCGTGTTGAGTGGCAAATGCACGCGTAACATCGTGAGCATTGTGTATATAGGACATAACGAGGACGTAACGATTGTAATTAATTACTATTATAAATCGCGCGCGGTCATTGGTAAAAAAAAACTTGAACAAGATTAAAGAGGAGAATAAGGAAAATTGTTGCTATATCGATAATGAAAACCAACAGTGCTATTACATTATTTGCCACCGCTGCTCTGCTATTACTAATTACTTACCACCTATCACAATTACAATATTACCGTAGTAAAATTTACGTGATCGCACGTTATTTACGTTTCGTTTTATAATCGTGCGGAAAAGAATAAGAGAAGAAGCTATATGCATACGTTTTCGTATAGTCTCAATCAAATGCGACTGTGGCATATATGTATACACACGGCCATCTGCATTCCTGCGTATGCGAAAGCCGCGCATGTACTCACGCGTGCACGCGCACCGTGTCGAAAATCCCGCGCAGAGAGTTACACTATATATTATTAGATTATATAAATAGCGTCGACAAATGCGCGCGTGCTCGCGTGATATTTTGCACGTGTACGTTCGATATGTAGGAAGAACAAATTTTACGCGGTGGATGTACAGTAACATGTGTGCGACGTGTGCGTAAAATGCGCACGCACGCACACTCACACGCAGAGAAATATTGTGGCGATGCAACCAGGAGGATATATATTTATCATTGAATATCAATATTATTGAATATTATTGAACACGATAATATGCAATAACGATATTCCGACTCATTCTAAGAATTGTGCACGAATTGAATCGGTAATCTTAGAGAGAATGTTACTCCAAATGTTTATTTCGCGAAATATAAGGTAGACACTTTTGAAGAGAATTGAAACGACCGTATAAGGACGTTTTCTTAGCTCTTATACTATTATATTAAATCGTATCGACGGTTGAAAGAACGTCTTTTTTATACTTGAGCGTGTGTCTGTATAAAGTGTTACGGAGTGAACACAGATTTTTGACATTTTTGGAGTAAAACTTTTCCTAACATTTCGCGATTCGATTAAGAGATCAATGAAATCGAAATTTATGAGCACGTGCGATTTCATCGCTAAAATGTGTTGTCATTGCGTTAACTTTCAAGCACTACACACCAAAAGCCGATCTCGAACACCACATTGATATTTAACAAATGTGGCGAACTCGATCGCCTCTATTGGAATTTTCTTTTTATTTAAACTTGAAGAAAAGAAAACATTAAAAAAGGGCCGATTTTTGTTCAAAAAGTAAGTAAAAGAAATAGTATTTTTTATATATATTTTGTATATTTTGACCTCCTGGATACGGTGAAATTATTATTAAAAAATTCATGATATTTGGAGAACACTTTGAAAATTAAGTAAAAACATTTAGGCCTCTGTACACGGTCAGTAATACTGTCAGTATCAACGAATATTGACAATATTATTGATTATGTGTGGTTAATTAATGGATTGATGTAGAATACTGACAATGATTTGGATTTAAATACATGCTTTTTCCTTAAGATCCATGTCGCCATAAATAATAATATACGTCAAATCACGTCAAACTGAAGTGAAATATTATCTGATCGTGTAAGATTGTAAAAACTAATGCATACTATCAGTAATACTGACTCAGTATTACTGATCGTGTAGGAAAGCCTTTTAACTCTGGATAAGTACGTACATGTTCGTGCTCAATTTTCGAGATATTTTCCAAACACTACGAATTTTTTAGTAACTTTATCGTATCCAAAGTCTACAAAAAAATAACATTATTTTTTTATTTACATTTTTTTGGCTAAAGATCGACTCTTTTCTAGTATTCTTCTTTGCGAAGTTTTATAAAAAATATATGGTGAATTCGCACTATCCTGGGTTAGTGCATATTAAAAGCTGCTTTGTACAAAATATCTAAATAGCATAATATGTGATACTCTATTCTATATATTTTGTTAAATAATATGATATACCATTATTGAGTATTTAATCGTTTAACACTAGAACTGTTGATAGTGTCATATTGATTTTGCTAATTATTTTTTCTATTTTGCATTAGATACGCAGAATATAAAATATATGTGAATATAAATTATTTAATTTTAATATAATGCAAATAATATCAAAATAAACTCTTTTCTAATAGAAAAGAAGGATAGAAGAATATTGGCATATTCGACAGTTCTAGCCAAATATCATCGGCAGTTATAATGTTAAAATATTTACAGGCTTATACATTTAATTTACTAATTTCATGTATAGTAGCTTTTAGTTTGCACTAATCTAGTGTAATATAAGTGACCGAATTCGCTATTAAGCCGGTTCTACATTAGTTGCAAGCCGATCGCAAGTTCGTTGCGATAGCCAATCTCAAGCTTGCATTTTGAAATCAATGCTTCAAATTGGCTGTCGCAACAAACTTGCGATTGGCATGCAACTAATGTAGAACCGGCTTTAGGTATAGTATAGAAAAAGATATAACAAAGGAAAAATGGAAGGTTTTTTCAGTAGACAAAGAATTGATTTTAAATGCAAAATGTTTCGAAAATTTTAAATCAAGAATGCGACGGATTTTGATCAAAGACATCTTACGACAGAGACGCTACAAAATATTCTTTACAAGATTATGTTTATCTGAATACATCTTCGACAAATAGATATTTTTTTATCAAACCCCAAATGTGGTGTTCTAGCGTCAAGTGAGAGCGTAGCGTCGATAGATAGAGCGTGTTAAAGTGTGAACGTAATACTGTTACGGCTACTAATTAGTTGATGTTACGAGTGTCGTTCATGCGCAATAATATACGCAATCGAGCGAATTATTTATCAAAATTGTGTTCGTCTATTCGCGATAACGCCGGTTTTCGATTCTGTATAATGCGATATATATTGCCGCTACTGCCGCACTATTCTCTCCGCGTGCGAACGTAAAAAGGAAGGACGCGCACGCCCTACTCCGTGCATATGTTAAACATATGATATGGTACAAAAAAGGACAAATGTATTAGGTGACGTTTATTGAAAATTGAAGAGGAAATTATGAATTTTTATTACTGAAAAAATATTACGTTGTGTGACTCTCATTTTTTGCATGTACATCCCGCATGTTCACCGGAGGAAAAAAATATTAGTAATGCGCCCCTATCTTGAATTTCTCAAATCGGATTTCATAATTCTATCATGTGTAAATACCGGCGTTACAGCATTACGATAAATAACAAATCGGAAGTAAATTATTAGCTAGAAATTACATCAATTTATATATTTATTGCATTATATCGCTGCAATACTTTTGTTCTTGGCAAATTGTTAATTTAGCATCACGGGTTTGTCATTGTATATCTACAGAAATTATGACGTCAAAAGCGAACATTTATTTTGACAGTGTATATTGAGACAAATTACTTTCGCGTGTTTGATGACATATGCTCTGTAATTCGATAATATATATTCTTTTCGATAAACAAAACACAATGCTATAAATTTTCATCAACTGCTCGAGAAAAGATAGTCAATGCATAAACTAAATACGATAACAAATTATGATAAAGACATCATTAATTGAAAAATGAAAAGATCATTGGTTTGATTTTTTAAATTCTAGTAAAATTCAAGTAAAATATTTCATGTAAATTAATACGTATATTTGAAATTATTTAGTTTAGTGCATCAAAAGGCGCATATAATATATTTCATTCTTGATTCTATTGTTTAAATTCTTTGAAATAGAATCTTACTCTAGAATGAAAATTGAGTTAGTCTTGAAAAAGAGTGGCTTAATTTTTAATCTTTAGGAATAAAATTCTACTATTCAGAATGAGATTTATTCTAAAATTTTGTAAAAGTATAACAGTGTCTAAGCTTTGAGATGACAAATTTTTGATTGGTCGTTTTAGTCAACTTTAGTAAGTTAGAATGAGTAAAATAGTAGCAGTTAGAATAAGATAGCGTATATAAAAAGTAACAGTACGCACACCTTTCTTTTTCACTCTTGTTCTGACAAAATTGCTTGTAGCCAAACTGTGAATGGCGTCCTTAGTTTCCATAGAATCTGTTTTTTGTGACTGAACTCTAATGTACACTTTTGGAACTTAAAAGTAAGATAGATATATATTTAATATTTAGCGAAAGCAAAAAAGAGAATTCTAGCTAGATTACGTTTAGAGAAGGGGAGGTTGAACCCCTGGCTTCCCTTACGCTACAAGCTAATTATGCAGTTTTAATCGTTCTAATTCAGGTTTGTCCATAAATCGATCCGCGTACAGTTTCGAAACTAGTTAAATCCGCTTCGCGCACTATTTCGAGAGAACTAGGCGCCAGGAACGAAACATTATTACGAGATCGCTGTCTCCATAAACCGGAATGTTCTCCACTAGGAAGTACCCGATATTATTGCGTATAAATCACATACATTATTATCCAGTGGTCCAGAATGAGGCGGATAATCATCGATCCGTTTTTTGCGATATTTATTTCGTTTTTCTTCTTTCTTGTGTGCAGCAGAGCGAATGGGGCGAAAACGAGACTGTTCCTTGTGCTACAGAAGACAGGCGCGTGCTTCTGGGGCGCGCGATTAAACTCTTGATCCGCACTTTCGTTCAAGCGTGGCTAAAGCAAGGAGGGGCTCGACATATTGGAGGAAAAATCATGCCGGAGATCCAGAGGAACGCCTCCGCTCCGTTCCGCGCGCGCGAATCGCGAGTCGCCGGCTGGCGAATGAGAGAAAATTCTGAGTGGCAGCTCTCCGAGTATCTACTTATCCGGCTGTCCGTCCACCTCGTCGTCGGATTTTGTCGTGTGAAAAGTTGTGAAAAGAAAGTGTGAACATGTGCGCGTGTTACATAGTCGAAGTGTAATTAAAATTACGTATGCAATTGCTGTATCTGAAACACGTGTATCCGAAGTACGCGTGTGCCCGGTGTGTTTCGAATTTTTTAGATGAGAAAAAAAACGGTGAATCCATGAATATCGGTTTTTGTCGCGAAGGAAAAAAGATTCTTTGAAAGATCAACAAAATTTGTTTCAACTCTTTAAATGGAAATTCAAGGTTGATCTATTTCAGTTCGTGCGAGAGAACATTTACACCCGCGTGCGTGAGTCATCGGCGTGCCGTTGATCTTTCGGTACTAAAGAATCACGTAAGAGCGGAAGCATTTTCAAGAAGAGCACGTGTTTGTCTCGCCTGTTTTGGTAAAAAAAAAGTTGATAAAAAAACGATAGAAAATCTTATCGTTTTGAATATGGAATCGTGAATTCACTAATTTGAATTACATCTTACATAAATCTTACTCGTATATAGAACCCGATAAAATACGATAGAATTCATATTCGATCAATGTGATGCTTGCGACGTCGACAATAGAACATAATATAATATAGAAAACGATAACAAAGTGATAGAAATCGTTTTCAATTGTTTTTTATCAACTTCTTTTACTAGGGTGCCTATACTGATCGAGAAAATCGGATACCGCATGAGCCCATCATTCGATAAAACGAAGAGGGTAAGATTTAAGTCAGAATAGATTGTGTATTAAGAATGTATTATGTATTTTTTTAATAAAATGAAAAAATTATGAAAAATTGCATATATTTCTGTATTGTATTTAAAGGTAATATAACAAGTTCTCTTTTTGGCGATGATTTAGAACCTGATCAAAAATTATTTTAATAAAAAGTAGACAAGTTTTCATTTAAATAACAAAGTTATATCATTAAACATAAATATTGATCTTATTAAATTGCTTCATATGTAATATTCATAATATTCATTTTTATACGGAAAATAGATATAAATTCCAATTATTTTTTAAAAAGACAATTTAAGGTATCCTTAAATAGCTCAGAATAGATTGCATATTAAGTATAATAGTAAACGTGCGCAAATTAATATATTTCTATTTTTTATTTGCTAAAATTGTTTCATTGCTTTATATAATAAAATTTCATAGAACAATATATATATATATATATATATATATATATATAACTGACAGTATGCATCAATATTTTTAGTATTTTTACAACCTTACACGATCAGTATTATTGATAATGCATTTCACTTTAATTCTACGTATATTATCTATTGCATATTGTAACATGAATCCTAATATAAATGATACTAATACTTGAAAACCAAAATTCAGACACTGTCAGTATTTTACACCAATCCATCAATATTAACCACATACGATCAATAATATTGTCAGTATTTAACAGTATTATTGATTGTGTAGGGTCACCTTTTTAATTAAAATCAGTCTTCGAATAGGTGCAACGACCTAATAATGTAGACTCATTAATATTGTTATTTAATATTATTATATAATATAATATTCATTTATTAACGTGAAATATATTTTGTAACACTATTCAGCACAAAAGTTTATAAATCACTTTTTACATATTATAAATTAAATGTTACATTTATGTATAATTAAAAGAGAAATTTAAGTTAAGTCTATTTCTGAAAGTTTTTTACCAATCACTTGTAAACAAATTCACTTGTAAATTAACTTATTCATCCCTAACACACTCAAAGGCTTCATAAAGAGAGGCAAGGATGAACTTCAGCTATTATCTAACCAGAATGTTGTATACAAAATCTCTTATGAAAATTGTGATGTGGGCCAAATTAAACGTAAACTAAATACCAGATTACATGAGCACATTTCAGACATCAAAAAAAGAACTGGTTCACCATTAGTTATATATGACCACCGCATTAACTTGAATCACAATTTTAAGTGGAACGAAGTCAAAATCTTAGATAATAAGACTTCTTACAATAAAAGATTAATATCTGAAATGATCCACATAAAAAAGTAAAAGCATAGCATTAATAGACAAAATGATACAGATTCTTTGCCAGATTCCTACCTCCAGATAATAAAATTCCTTTCCCCCCTAATAATTTCCTCCTCGTTTCCTTTCTTAGCTCCTCCTCTCCAACACTTTTCCATCGCCATCCACAATCTCTTTGTCTAACATTTACACAACCTTCGTAATTATCAAAATGTCATCATCAATTTATAATGTTTCTAAACATTTACCATACAAGATAGCACTAAATTCATATCTGATTGCTTTTATCTCATTTTTGTTAAGAAATGTTATTAATTTATATATATTCTCACTAATTTAATAACTGGTTTGATTTTTAGAGTCACTACATATACAATAGGTATTATACATATATTTATGTACATCATGAAGAAAATTGAATTTTTAATGTAGTATTTCAATATATGTTACATAATATAATTGTTATTAATTTTATAATGTATTATCGCGGTCCGATATTATGGAAACAACATTCCATAACACTATTAAATCAAGCCTCATCATGAGGTTTTTTATAGTGATGGACTATTCAATAATGAGGAACAAATTTTATCTATTGACGATTTTCAAATTGTGACATCTAGCGAGACCATAAATATCATTCAAGATGTAACTATTACATCTGCAATAAGTAATGTTCACAAAAGTTGTACTTCCTTCGAATAGTTTTCCACATTTCTATGTATCATATTTTTTAAATTTTCATACGTTGAGAATGACTTAAGCGAGGTCGAAACGTCTGTTAATAATTGTTTATAATTTCTTTGTAATTTGCGTTTTGTTTATAATACATATAATGTTCCGTTTGATATGTTGTTGTTTTTATTATCTTGATGTTAGTTAACTATTAATACATATTATCTGGCTCATAGCCCTTCTATACCAATTCTTTTTAAAAGAGAAATATTATCCAAAATTAATCAACGTTTGTGTGTGTGTGCGTATATCTATATATATTATTATACATATATGTATTATATTATTTTTAATTGATTTAAAACGTAATTTTATTTTAATATTGTCAGACATTGTTTGTTATTTATTATTATTCAAGGAAAACAGGTTATCGTCTTCCTCTCTCTTTTCCTTCTATTTTTAGAGAATGCACAAAAAAAATGTTGAATAATTTATTTTCACAGAAGAAGAGAAAAGACAAGATATGAATCAATTTCGTGGTCATGAGAAAGTGCGTTGAACGATATCGGTCGAAGTCACAATTAACTAATTGGTTGATTGAAGAGATGCGGATTCTGAACGTCGCCACATTCCGCGACGAGACACAAATCATACGCCTATATTATTTTTTATCCATATCCTAGTATTAAATTTCTTGCAAGGTTCATCTTTTGCCTTTTTCTCCTTATGTGAAAAAAAAAAGGGTAAAATAAACTGTGCTAAAAGTTCAGTCCGGGGATATGGAAAAAGAACAGGCCTCATGAGTCGTGTCGAGCGCGGTGCAACGACGACGGTGCGCGATTTTGCGCAATGCGCGCGCATGTTCACGACGCGTGTGTGGGCATACTGCCCTTTAACAGCTTTCCCACATATGGCTCGCATAACGTTAGTCATCCTCGCGGCGTCCATCTGAGCAATTATTTACCGATAATCTCGCGATCTGGCGACAGCGCAATGTTCCCGCCGATGAAACCGACACGTTTCGCGACACGTGTTACGCTCGAGAAGCGGACCTCGCGCCTCGCGGACCTCTCTATCGTCGGATAGACTTTTCCACCGTCGTCGCGTCGTTACATCACGCGCGTCGCGCCGCTATTACCAGTTCTGCGCTCCCAGAAACATCGAAAACGAGTTACGTAGAGAGCGTGTCTTGTACAATCTCTCGGGCAGAAACGGGTTATCGGACAGTCGCCTCCTTATCGTCAATCAATGGCGCCGTTTTGAGATGCTTGCCGCGCGACGCGATTCCGCGCATCCGCAGCTTCCGAGGGTTGCTCAAACCCGAAAGCTACATTTATTCTGAAAGGATTTCTATGTGGAACAAATGGTTGTGTTGACTAACTGTATCTCAAATTTTAGCTATATATATATATATA